ATAGATAGATAGATAGATAGATAGATAGATAGATAGATAGATAGATATAGGTAGATAGATAACAGATAATAGATAATATTAAAGGCTAAAGGTTGATACTATGGGCTGTTAGACAGAATGATGAATGGAAAAAAAGACTAGTAAGCTATAGTTTCATTGCTTGCTCTTGTAAAATTGTTCTTTCTAAAAGCTGTTTCTGCTTTTTGTCCAGATTATTTTCAAGTATCGTAATGACAGACCTTTCCCTGCTTCCCTGGAGATGTTATTCCAAAAATTTTTAGTGTCATAGAGGAGTTTTCAGGTGTTTTGACCAAATTTGGGGTTTCCTTGGCAAAGATGGAGTGGAATAGCCTACAAGCCTCTAGCCCCTTCCATATTGCAATCCATTTCCTTTTCCAGCTCATTTTACAGATGAGGAAACTGAGGCAAACAGGGTTAAGTGACTTGCCCAGGGGCACTCAGCTAGTAGATGTCTGAAGCCAGATTTGAGCTCAAGAAGATGAGTCTTCTTGCCTCCATAGCTGGAACTCTCTTTATCCATTGTGCCACCTAGTTGCCCTGCAGAAGGAGTAGGATGAGGGAATGAAGGAAATAGATTTAGGAAACAGATTTCAGAGTTTTGTATTCTCTAAAGGGAAAAAATCCTTCTCGTAACTTTAGTCAAGCAGATGCCGCCAATGAATGTGTATAGCACGTAAGATCATAGAGCCATAATTGCAAGGGACCTCAGACTCCACCTAGCCCAATCCACTCATTTTACAGATGAGAAAACAGGAGTTCAAGGAGGTTGTTAATTGACCAAAGTTATACAGGCATTAAGAGTTATACAGGATTTGAACTCAGATCCTCTGACTTTAGTGTCACTGTCCCACACTGTGTGAAATTGCCTCTGCTCTTTAAAATACCAGAGCCCCCAAAGTGTGGATCATTGTCGAAAGAAAGAAATACTCCATGCCGGGGACATATGGGAAGCAAAGGGAATCACCACTTAACAAACATGAATTGAACTGAGGCTGGATTTTTCCAAAGCATTGATAAGCATCTCAATAAGTATCTCTTAGTGGTAATTGTTGTGAGTGTCCATAAAGTATATGGCTCCACAATCTTGTCGCTTCTCGTTCCTGTCCGAAGGTAGCCCACACTCTACTTCTACTGTAACAGGGAGTGGATTGGCCTGTGACCTTAGGCATGCGTAACTGTTGCAAGCTGTTCCAGCACTCCTTGATTCAAGCTTTAGTATTACCCCTTCCTATGCAGGTACAGCAGCCCATACTTTATGATGCTAGCATACAGCCCTTGAAGTGATACAGGTCTTGATGAGGCACTGGAACACTTTTCCCACCTTGAAGAAGCTACAAAATAAGAGTGAAATTCTACTCAACCCCAAGATCTTTGGCTGTAGCTCTAAAGCCTTGAACTTACCCTCATCCCAGCAATCAATCAACATGCATTTATTGTGCTCTTCTTCCTCCTGGATAGGTAAAAGTCAAAGTAGAATCCTCAGAGTGGGCTGCCTTTAGACGGGGATGAGAAGCAGGTGAAATGATGGGTTAGGGAGATAGAGACAAAAAGGGAATGGCCCCTGTTCTTGAGGAAGCTTGTATCCTACTGAGTGAGTCAATACATACCTGGACAGGTAGAAATGAACATATACTCATTAGTTAGGAGGAGGGGGCACTGGTAGTAGGGCAGTTGGGGAATCAGGGAAGACTTCATGTCCAAGGTGGTACTTGAACTGAGTTTCAAAGGAAAGTAGAGATTCTAAGAGTCAGAGGTGAGGAGGAGGAGTATTCCAGCCATGGAGGATGATCAGTGCAAAGGCATTTAGGTGGGAGATAGAATTTTGTGTTTAAGGAATAGTTAGCAGGCCAGTTTGACTGGATTGTAGAGTATGTAGTATCACATAATGAGGCTGGAAATGGAAGTAGGAGCCAGGTCGTGAAGGGCTTGAAATGCCAGTGCTGCATCATGGATCGGTTGGTCACTATGTCCCAGAGTTCTATTTCTTTGAGTCTGAGTGAAATCCTGGAATCCTTGACTCATGGTACTAGGAAAGAGAAGAATCATTTTGTGAAGGAAAGGGCCCTCATTCTGCCAATCCCAGCTCACTGCTAATTCCCTCATGTGTCCTCAGACATGTCACCCATGGTCCCTTGGCCTGATCTAAAAATGAAGGAATTGCTTCTAGTTTGGATGACTTTATCCAAGTCATCTCTCCTCTCTAGATCTCTTCTATAAAACGAGGCACATAGACTCAATGATATGGGGATTGTGGGATTTGGAGTTAGACCTTAGAAAATGTATGAATTCCTGGTGCCATGTGCTCATAGACTCAGAAAACCAACCTCATATTCATTTTCATCTCTTGGAATATTGGTGGCATTAAGTATTAAAATTTAATTTTATATACATTTATTGATGATCTAATTAGTATAAGGCTAGGCACCAGAGAGACAATAGTGAAAAACTTCATACTTTCTCTCCTCTAGCTTAGTGGGATCATAGCTTTAGAGCTGGGTGGGGGAGGGAAGGGAAAGGGCAAACCTTAAGGGTCAACTAATTCAACCTTCACATTTTGCAAGTGAGGAAAATGAGACACAGGCAAGTTAAGTTAATTGCTCAAGGCCACTCAACTAATAAGTATCTGAAGTAAGATTTGAGCTCAGGTCTTCCTGACACCAGTTCCAGTGCTCTATCCGCTTATTCCATGCTGCCTCTCCATAAACAGGGAGCAGAAGGGAAGAAAAGATAATATGCATTTCTATAGTGCCTTCTATGTGCTAGGCACTAAATGCTATTTAAAAATATCTCATTTGATCATCACAACAACTTTGTGAGGTAGGTGCTATTATTTTTTCCATTTTACAGAAAGGAAAACTGAGGAAGGTGGAGGTTAAGTGACTTGCCCAAGGTCGCAAAGCTTGAAAGTGCTTGTGGTGGGATTTGAACTCAAGCTTTCCTGACTTCAGGTTCAATACTCTGCCCACTGTGCCACCAGCTGCCTCACCATAAGCTAATTAAGAGAGGATTCATAAGAGTCCACTAATAGTGGCAGTGGATGAAGAGGAAGGAGCAATTAGTCCCATCCATAATGATTGAGCCAAATCTTTTCTACCGCTCTCTTTCTCTCTCATACATACCACATGCCAAGTGGCAAGGAAAGAGGTTTTAAAAAGGTACATTTCTGATTGCACCATAATTACACTCGCATTTTGGAAAAGAACAATGTGTTAGTAGCAGAAAATTATTGCTCTGTAGGGAGGTGGTTTGTGCTTCAATGACAAGAACTTTGACTGCAAAACATAACATGAATCTATTGGGAAAATGTCACCTTTTTCAACGTCTGTTTTTTCTTCTCCCTCAGGGAGGCAGTCAGCAATTTCCTCACTGCCTTGAGTTTGCAAAGAAAGAGTAGGAACCAGCAACAAGTTCCCCATCCGGCCATTTCCGGCAACATCTGGGCTGCCCTCAGGATTGCTCTCTCCATGATGGACCAGCCGGAGCTATTTCAGGCAGCTAACCTTGGGGACTTGGATGTTCTACTAAGAGCTTTTAACCTGGAGCCATGAGGAAGAGATGATGCCACCCACCCGGGCTACTGGAAAAAATTATTAGAATGTCATGCAAATTGCAAAAATGATTTTATTATGAATTTCAAGAGGAGAAATCAGATGTTCAAAAGACCACAGACATGCAACCCAAGGGAACCCCTCCCAATGCTGCCCAATTTCCATTCAAGTTCAAAAGCACAAAACATTGTACATAGTGTCAAGTTTGGATTCAAAACAAGGCTAGAAAGAAATGAGACCAAACGAGAAGAAGACGAGCAGTGGGTGAGGAGTGGCTCTCACCAACTAAGAGTGTGTTGTAAGCCACAGATGCCAGCTTTGGGGCAGCTGACCTTTTGTCCAAGGACCAGTCCTTTTAGGACATCAGTCGCATGCAGAAGAATGCACTGCCTCGGGCCATGAAATACAGACTGGGTCTCTTGCTGGGTTTCCCACAATCCCTCCTCCCTAGGATATAATCCAGCTTGGACCACAGGGCATGTACACTGTGTGGGTTGGCCGGGTGGGAAAGGCAGGCAGCATTCTCTGGGATTGCTTTCCTTTGGAGCATTCACTGTTTGATTTCAGAGAGTTGGCTTTGCAGGCAAAAGCAAGCTTTCTGTACTAGGCTTTTTTTTTCTTTTCTGCTCTTAGCCCAGATTGAGGCCGGAGCAGGAGGGTGGTATTGGGGTGGGGGGAGGGGGAGTCAAACTGTACATATGCACTTTAATATCTCATCATTTATGCCTTGCCGGGCTCTTGGATTGTTTCTCCACTTTTAGACCTGAGACAGAAAGATTTCAGAACACAGCCACGGTTGTTCACTCAGTGGACCAAATATTCATTTTTGACAATTGTTCTCATGGTATAGGGTTTGACAAAGTGTTTTTCTTAAAGCAGGCATAGCAGACTGAAGGCATCAGTTCAAACATAGACTTTCTTACTCTCACAAGTTCAAAACATACACAACCCAGATGTACAGAGCTTTATTCCTTCAAGTACCTTTAGCTGGGGCATGGCTCTAGGGAGGTTTGCTATTGCTGAACTCACAATTGTTGGGGGGAGGGAGGCTTGGAGGGGGGGGTAAATGTTGGTCCCAACCTACGATTTCATCACTGTACAGATTTCCCTCGTGAGGAATCTCCTTCCACCAATGCAGGTGAGCAAATGATCTGCATCTTATAATCTTAGATAATTGCCTAGGAGGTACTTGGAGTTTAAGTGACTTGCCCAGAGTTACCCAGCCAGTATGAATCAGAGACTGAACTTGAACCCAGGTCTTGCTGACTCCAAGGCTGGCTCTCTATCCATAATGCCACGCTGTTTCTCATAACATATTATCTAAATGATATCATTGATCTGCTTTGCTTCCCTGCATATCAATGGTTATTTTTAATTATTCATATTTTAAATGCTCTAGCCTTGATAAATACATTTTTTAAGCTAAAACTAATGGTGTTGGTTCAGTTCCACCCTGCTGGTGCTGCTCCCTGCCCCCACAGTACATTCTGAAATGGAATGTGGGGCCAACTTGCCCAAATGGCTCACAGGCTTTTCCAGCCAAATCAGTAGATGAACTTGGAATGTTCATCTCTTGACCTTGGCCCTTATTTTAGCAAGTTGCCCAAGTATCGAAAGTGTCCCTGAGATTTCTCATTTACTGTGGAGAGGTTTCATGTAATTAGTAAACACTGTGGTGCCACGATCCTGGAATGCACTCAGTTCCCTAAAGTCTTGTTGGATTCAATTGGCTGCCTGATTTGTTGGAGTTTGGGGTTTTGTTTTATTGGGGAGCAAGTGTTCTGGAACAGCTTATATTCATGTTTCCTATATTTTTTTTTTGTCTCTTCCTCCACCCCTGGCTTCATACTACCACCTGCCCCACCCAAAAAAAAACCCCAAAACTATGGTAGCTTTTTCCTTATTAGTTCTGTCAAATTCAGCTCAATGGTTATCAAATCACACCAAAAGGAGCTAGTTAAAACAATTCAAAAAATCCACAGTTTGAGGTTCATGGGACCATTTTCTCTAACCACTTCATTTTACATATGAAGAAACTGAGGCTAAGAGAGAGGAAGTGATTCACCCAGGTTTGCATACTAGTAAACAGCAGGGCTGGAATTCCAATTCAAGTCTTCCAATACCAAATACAGCATACAAAATAAAAAGAAATGCATGCCCCAGTCCCAGGTAGCAAACCTCCTCTCTAACTATTAAATATCACCTTAGATTGGGTGGATGATTGAGAAGAAAAAAAAGGATCTAATGTGAATATTACACTTCAGATCATGAAACTTCCTGCTATAAAGCTGGAAGAGAATTTAAGTCACCTAATCCAACCACTTCCTTTTAAGATAAGGTCCAGAGTAGTTAAATTACCTGTCCAAGGTCACACTGATTGTAAGTGACCAAAACTGGGAGGTGAACCCAGATCCCCTAACTCTGAATTTATCACTCTTTTCACTGCCTCAAGGCAGAAGAGAAACAATCTCATGTATTTTGTAATGAGAAGTAAGTGGAGAGTGAGGATGAGGGGAAGGGCAGAGTTTCCCAGTTCTTGAACACTGATGAACATGATCCCAACATCCCCTACCAGCTTAAAATGTATGGAACCTATAAGTTCTCAGAGTTCACTTTTGTGGAAATCAACATGTGTTTCTCTGAAAAAAAAAAATGGGGAGCAGCAAACCAGTCAAGGGCACCATCGCCTGAAAGTAAGCAGTTTGTAATTTCAGACTTGTGATTTCAGATTTCAGACAGATTTCAGACACAGAACCACAGCACCATGATGGCAGGCCAGTGGCATGGGCAAAGATGGAAAGAAGGAAGACAAGACAGAAAAGGAGTTAAATTATAAAAGAATAAAAGAAGTCATAGAGAGGGAGAGAGATAAAGTAAGAAAGGCCCTACCTGTGGTAGAAAGCAACCGACAGTTACCTCAGGTGCACAGACTGCCTGGTCCTAAACTAATCCACCTCCCTTCTCCAGGCAAAACCACACCATTCAATATAGATGGGTATCTATTGCACATTTTTAACACCTTCAGAAAAAGTTTCCTCACTTTCCATGGTAGCACAGTCCAATATTTGTCCATCCATTCTATAAGGAAGCCCTTCTTCCATACTAATTTAGACCCTTTACAATGCAGTAGAATCATAGACTGTTAACACTAGAAGGTATCATAGAAATCAGCTAGTCCCCATCATTTTATAGATGAGGAAACTGTAACCCAGACAAATTCAGTAACCTTCCTCAGGTTCACAGGTCATAAGTAGCAAAACTAAGACCTGGGTCCTCTGACTCCAAATCCAGCATTGCTGTCCATACACCACGCTGGTTTCTGAAGAGAAAGACCATTTAAGCATTCCAGAATTTTATGGGTTTAAGCCTACCATCGCAATTACTCCCCTTGTAATATTATTCTTCAATATGAGAGAAAATTGAAGTCCTAATAATTGCTGCATGCTATGTCCGAAGCCTTTGAGAGTTACATGTCCACAGTAAGATCTCCATGAAGAATAGATTTCTGGTGCTTTATTTCATTTGTGGGAGTTTGTGGAAGTTGAAGTAGTGATGAACTTTCAGGATCTCAAAATGTTTTGGCACAGAGATAAGATAATTTTAAGCTGGAGGAGATTGTGGATTCAGATTATAGACTTGAAGATTGTAGACTCAGACCTGCAAGGGACCCTAGACATCAACAAGTCTAATCTTTAATTTTATAGTAATAGACATATCTGTTCCTACCAATGGCTTGACTATTATATTAACACCCAGTCTAATTGTCCTAAATTTGCCCAATGTTCACAAAACATAGGGATTTTAGAGAACTGTGCCTATTAGGCTATACAGAATGATGGTGCAAATATATGAGAGAGGCCATTGTTCAAATTTTATTTTCCATGCAATTCATGTAGCATATGGCAAGTGTTTACAGAATCCCAAGAATAACCAAAAATTAAGTACAAGACGTTAGCTGTATGCGTAGTCTTTTAAAAATGTATATTCAGATTTCTTTTAAACCAGAAATATCTTCAACATGAGATCAATCTTGGGTAACAGGATATCATTTAAATTTCTTTTCTTTTTGAAAGGACAAGTTTTTGGGTCCTGAATGTCCTTCCAATTGGAGCTGTTTGGCCCTTAAAACAGCTGTGTTTGTGTAGCTATTTCTTTATATTTCTAAGCATAGTAGAGAATCTTACCCTGAAAGGTACTATTTGGTGGTATCATCTTACCAGACCATGGAATAGTCCCTTCTGGTTGCTCACAGGTGCTGAATTTGTTGGTTATTTGAGGAAAAAATGCAGAGAATGCTTATGAAGTACGCTTGTAAAGTCTTATGAGTTAGATCTAGTTGGAGTGGGAGCTGTTTCTGCCTCTTTGAAAGTATTTAACAATTTAAAGTATTTACCAATATTGTGATAATATTGGTCAGGAAGAGGAAGAAAAACCAAAGAAAGAATAGCACAAAGAGGGAAAAGAGGAGGAAGAAAATAATAGGACAAGTATAAAAGGAATGAAGGAGGAGAAAAAAATAATAGGAACAGGAGAAAAGAGTAGAAAGAATAGGAGGAAGAATAAGTGGAGAATAAAGAATAGGAAAGGAGCAAGAATAAGAGAAGAAAGAATAGGAGAAGGAAAAGAAATAGGAAAATAGGAGCAGAAGAAAGAAAAGGAGGAGGGAGGAGAGGAGAAGAAAAAACAAGAGGGGAATAATAATAAGAGAAAAGCAAGAATATGAGGAGAAAAGAAAAGGGGGAGAGGAAGAATAGTAGTAGCAGGAAAAAGAGAAGAAAAAATAGGAGGAGGAATAAGAGAAAGAAGAATAGGAGAGGAAGAAGAGGAGGAAGAATGAGAGCAAGAGAAAGACAAGAAGAAAGGAGAAAGTAGGAGGAAAAGAAGGATGAATAGAAAGATTAGGAATAGGAAAAAGAAGAATGAGAGGAGAAGTAAAAAGAAACAGAGGAAGAGGAAAGGAGGAATAGAAGAAGAGGAATAAAAGGATGAAGATGAAGGGT